CTAGCCTATGGTTTTGGAAGGGAAAACTGTCATATTTGTTAACCATAGGCAGCTGAATTAATTGTATTTGAAAGAGAAAAAACAAGAAAAAAAAACAAGTGACTAAAAATCCAGTGTTTGTTGCCAGCTGGTGTCTCATAAAAAGATTTCTTTCACTTTAAACTTGTACATCGATGTAGAACAGTATTGGATTAAGGAGGCAACACCTTTGCCGCTGTACTGAGCGATTTCGGTACTCCTGAACAATTGCGGTCCCATTGCACTTAGTGCCCCTGTAGTGTGTTTCTTATCGAGATCTAAACTGAATTAAAATTATAGCCAAGGCTATCTAATCTAGATCTAGAATCTAGATATCTAAATATGTGTAGATCCAGATTATATCTAGAGATAGATTATCTAGGCTATCTAGAGCTAGATCTAATCTATGATCTAGATTCATTTCCATAGCCACAATACCCGTCATGTAAACCTGGCCCTGTGGAAAATTGCATTTTTGAAATATAAAAAATTGCAAAAAATTGCAAGGTAAACTTCCTAAAAATTGCAAAAAATTGCAACCTTCCCATCCCAGGCGCATTAATACGGACTTAACATTTTTAGTTTAAAAAACATGACAATTTGAGATCCGGTAGCATAAAAAAGCATAATAGCCTTTAAAAAAAACATGACCCACAATACAAATTTTATTACATGTAACAACATTTACTAGTAACAACACACGAGTACGTTAACAATAAAGTTATCGACCAAATATAATATAATATCGCATGACCCAAAATAATGGAACCCTCGGTTTTCGTAATAGCTTTCAAATGAAGGCATAAAATTTGACAAAATTTAGTACATACCGGGTGCTTGGTTCATGCAAAGATCCAGAAGTGTAGTATGAGGTTTAGTATAAAAACAAAACAAAAATTGATAGGAGATTCGAACAACCTCTAAATGCAAAATTAGCTTATGTCCCAATTAATTCAGATCCTATTCTATTTTTCTCTTGAAACCTTTGATACACCAGTAATCTGTATTTAGATCTATTTCAGATATTTTTTTTTAAAAACCAGTTTGGCATTGTTTTAACTCTTAAGTCAAATCGTAAAATACAGCAATTTTTTCCCCCATTTAATAGTAATAATAATGTAGATCATTTCTATATCGACCACTCCCACGTGAACGCAGCTTAAAGGCGTTTTACTACATTAATTTTTATTAAGGGAGTGTCTTCGTACACGGTACCCAGGCAACCGGGCACGTAGTCACAGTGTCACGTACTCGGTAACCGGGCAGTTCAGAACTCCAAGTTCAGTTTTTGTAATCTGGTGTTGCCTTCAATCCCAGCCCTCTCCCGACTGTACCTTTTTAAAAAATCAATAATCCACCCATTCCGGAGCCCTATACTTCGCAGCGCACATATTTTGACTTTGAATGAACTTTGGTGACCCCAACCGGTACTCACAATGTGATGCGAAAGCACAGGTTCACTGACCGGTCTCGATGGCGAGCCCGACAAGACGCTTGTACATGTATGACTTTCTCTTTTTTTTTTCAACAAGTGACAGCACAGGACAAATATTGATTTATTTGCATTACGGTTACCATGTACGTAGATACTGAGACTAGGTGCCCGGTTACCGTGTATGTAGACACATGCATCATGTACGAACAATATTCACACGCGCGCGCGCGCACACACACACACGTACACCTTACACGCGCACACACATGCACACCACTCACACACCTACTTTCTTATTACACGCGCACGCTTACACTTACACACATTAGATCTCTATGACTCTATGTCTCAGTTTGTGTTGCACATTATGTACAATGTATTCCAGCCTGAATTTCCGGTTATAGCTTTTAGAGTACGCCCAGTAGACTAGACTAGAGCTGGGCCGAAACAATGATTTACGTAGGCCTATCGGCTCTGTACTCGCATCATTTTGAATTTAAAATTCTGTTAAAATGAAAGCGTTGATGTTATTTTGCCGAAAATTGCAAAAAATTGCGGGTTTATTGCGGACTTTGACAAGGCCGCAAGACCGCGATTTCCTGGGGGGGGCCAGGTAAACAAACGGGACCGCAATTGTACAGGAGTGCCGCGATTTCTTTATTAAATCGCACCAAACGCAAAGTGCAGCAAGCGGCTTGTGTTCAATTTTCTAATGAGCTTTTCAAGTCGCACACCGGCTGCTTCTTCATTCCAGCTCCTTTTATTTTTGCTTTTCTAAATCAATTTCTCTCGAATTTCCGCTGTTTTCAATGACAACTCAGCCCGCCAACGTCACGATGTCCGATCGACAGTGTGTTGCTCCACATTAGGCTAAACAATGTGAAACTAGCGCTTGGCACAGAAGAACGGAAGTAGAAAGCTATGGGCGGACATGCGCAGGCTGTGTTTTCGTCTCTCTCCCGGTTCGGTGTTTTCCGCGTGTAAAAAAAAAAGTATCGCAATTTGTGACCAAGAGCGGTCCAGCTGAGGAAGGACGAAAGTAGCGGGAAAAGCTAGATGAAGCGGAGTTTCCACTATTTGGCAGGAAAGTGGCAGCTATGATATAAGTAAACGAAGTGACTATTCAGACTCGAGTCCGAATATGAAAAAATGTTATTCGGACTCTGATTCTTGTCCAGCATGACATCACGACTCCGGCTTCCTGTCCTTCCTCACTCGTGACTTGCCTCAGGCTGGGTAGAGACCGGGATCACTTCGGGCAAAATGGCGTTAAATTTTGCAGGGGCCAAGTTTTTATCTTATAATGAATTTGAGGCCGGCCTGAAAAGTTATAGCACTTCTAATAAATGTTTATTTGTCAAGAGGTCATCAGAAGCAATTAAAGATGGCTCGTTAGCGGGTGTCGGGATCGGATGGGCGGCCTGCACACGTGTGGCTGTGTGTGCGTGTCGGGGAGGGGGGGGCACTATCGGTCCAGGCGTTGAACGTCACATACGCGTCAGTCTCCCCCCCCCCCCCAGCAACTGATCATTATTACAATAAATAAGCAAGACTAGACGTAGATCTACGAAATGAATTGTGCGCTGGTCTATGGAATCAAAAGTTGCCGTATGCTTGGCTCTACACAGCAACACAACTTTTTCTTAGAAAGAATTTACCCTGTTTTGTGACTGGCCACCTCTATTCTCACCCGGATTAATAGCGCAGGCGAGTCTTTTGGCTATTCTCACCCGGTGGGCGTTCACCGTTATATAGCAATGCCAATCGCCCGCTGCTCCTTGGGCCGGAAATCGGCCTCCGCGGGAGGGGTAATTTTTGGGCCGCTCGGAATCAGAAGTGACTCTCTTCTAAGTATAGTTATGGGAAAACTCCTGGTCGAAAATAAATGAAACTCAGCAACCAACCAGAGGAAAGGTTAAACTAACGACATGCCAGCATACAATCCCGAACGATTACTAGAACCGGAGATATTGCCGTATTTGTGCGAATTTCCTTTGCGGTTCAAAAACTAAGCGGAGCTGCGGGTTGATCGCCGACCACACAAGCGCTCCACATGTCTTCTTTATTGCTGTAAAATTTCAGATCTCAGCGTTTAGTAGATTTTCCGTACCAACTTAAAATTACCACCCATCCATTGATAAAACACTAGATCTGGAAACTAGATCACGCATTCCAAACGCGAGGTGCCGGCATGCAAGAGGCGTGTGATCGCTAGGCCGCATGTGATTGGCTGCCTATAACCAAATAGGTCACCGATGACTACATCGCGGGTTTTCCCGATAGCGCTTTACTGAGTTTTAGAAGGGGTGATCGCGTCGTGGTAAAAACGATGTCACGCAATTCAACAAATTTCACGCAAATATCAGTCTTTAAGATTCATATATATATATGCTCCAATTCATTACTGACTTATGAACAGTTTTTCCTCAAAATACATCAAAACATGTCCCACATTTTGGCAATTTTTTCCTAAATGAAGGTCCTCCAACATTTTGCAAACAAAAATCTTAACTTTTTTATTTATCAATAGATTTTTAAAATTTAAAAACCATACTTCTTAGAATTTACTCTATTTTCATTTAAGCCCATTTTTAAGCAATTTGGATGAAAATTTAATTTTTCATTGTCATTGCTACGTTATAGCCTAGGCCAACCAGTGAAGCGTTCACCCTGAACCACAGAATTCTACACTGTGATAACAGAATTATAGAATTCTGTGCTGTGAACAAACGTTCTATTACTACTGTGTTAGTTTAGAGCCTAAAACTAAAAGCATGCAATTTTGTCTGTGGGCAGTGGAGAGAGAGAAAGAGAGAGAGGAGTAGCGCGAGAACTTCCGGGCAAAACAAAATGGCGACCCGCGTAGTTCGGCTCGATTCAGAAAGTTAAATAGCCGTAGCATCTTTGTAGACAACCAAATTAATTTAGTTTTGTTGGTTTTTTAACATCATTTTTAAACTTTGTTTTGGTCAATTTGATCGTCCACACTGAGACTGATAGACAGTTTTCAGAAAGGGACAGAGAGAGAGAGAGGGGGGAAGGAGTAGATCTTGCGAGAACTTCCAGGCAAAACAAAATGGCGACCCACGTAGTTCGGCTCGATTCGAAAAGTGAAATAGCCATAGCATCTTTGAAGACGATCAAATTAGCTTGTAACGTTCGTGCTATAACGTAATTTTTTCTTGGCTTATATCAATATGATCATCCACACCGATACACAGTATTCCAAAATTAGGAAAAACAGGTCTTGTTTCACACTGGGTGAGAATAGCCTACGCTGGCAAGTCTCACCCGGGGTGAGAGGTAGATCGTATTTTTTATTCTCACCCCGGGTGAGAATAGCCACTTCCTTTGTGACTGCTATGAATAAGTTTAAGTCGCTGTTCAGTGTTAGTAGGGGAAGCATTATAACATTATAACTGACAGATGGTCGAGGATGTTTGGTAGAAATAGAAGAGAGGGCTCAGGCTCACTGCTCGAGCCGCTTTCAGGGCTCATCAGTAGTTGAGTAGTGTCAGGGGCATTTTTCTCATTGTCTGGCTCTCACCTTCGCTTCATACAGAACCCTTGCTTTTGTAGGGTCTGGCTCAAAGCATAATACAATTTCCCCAATGTCGTATTCAAAACGCAGACTTCGTCCAGCCATTCTAAGTTGAAAAACTTGTACGACGGCCTAAAATCCACCTAAAGTGGGGACACCGCTTCTTATTCGGCTAATTTCGAATGTAAACAAAGTAAACCGCAGAGAGCGCACCGGAAGCTTGAGATGCTCCCAATTTTGCAAATATGAATTATAAAGTCGTAAAAATATACATTACGTCCAGTGTTTGAAATTGTTTCCTATAAGCAATTATATAAAGAAAACAAGACTTTTAATGCTATTTTACAAGTAATTTAAGTTAAGATACAAATTGTTTATTGTTTTGAAGTAATATTTCCATGCAAAACTAAACCTATTTCCAGCCGACACGATTTGAGAAATTAAAAACTCCTAGTGCAAACTTTTAGAAAGCACACAAATAATAAAATTCAGTAGAAATAAAAAGCAAAAGACTATTCACAAGAAATAAATTTTGAAAAAATAAAACAAAGAGTCTAAAAGAATTTCTAAAATGATTTAGTAGGTTTTGAATCTTGTTCCTCCTCATTTGTATATGTTTCGTTTCATCAAAAATCCACGATCGAATGAAGGGAACTTCGTCATAAAGCGCGGCGCGCGGGTTGTTTACAAACGACAAACACAGTTTTAACACAGAGACAGAGATCAAACGTGCGTCGTGTCGTCCGACTGTGGGTGGGTCAGAATTTTATAGAACCAACTGGATACAGTCATCATGCCATCACCAAAAGAAGAATACTCAAACGGGTTGTCATCTAATTCTAATGGGTATGAAGAATATAATCGTACAGCTCACTGTATTTAACATGCGATTAAAAGTAGAAATAATGCAAACCATTTTTCGGAAGTTCTGATAGCTGATTTGATAGCGCGTCTGCGTTTGATGTCGAGCAATGACTTTTGGAGCGGTTCGATTCCGGTCCCGGACAGTTTTTCTTTTCTCTTTTCCTCCTCCCGACTGACCAACAGTTCCATAAATTATAGGCCTAATTTGTAGAGTTACTTTGAGTATTAGTGATTAAAAATGCAGGAGGGGGGGGATCTAGATCTAGATCTAGAACTAGATATTATCTAGATCTAGACTAGTCCTCCTGCGTCTTTACGGCAATTTTCGTGCGGTCTTCCATCATGTCCAGGTAGGCCTAATAGATCTAGATCTAGATTCTAGATCTAGACTAGGCTAGAAAATCCGAAATGTTACCGAAAACACGTCGTTCCATGTGGGTATCCCAGGAAGTGATGACATTACATTACTAAAATTAGCAGCCAATCAGAAAGATGCGTCATTTCTAAGTTTAACGGCATGTACCTCATTTATTACTATAGATCTAGATCTAGATTTAACCCTCTGAGGGAGACTAAAATTCATTCTTTCATAATGGAAGTGGCTATTCTCACCCGGAATACGATCGACCTCTCACCCTGGGTGAGACTTGCCACCATTGGCTATTCTCACCCGGTGTGAAACAAGACCTGTTTTTCCTAATTTTGGAATACTTTCTATCGATGTGGATGATCAAATGGATAAAGGCAAAGAAAAGATTACGTTATAGCACAAAAGTAAGCTAATTTTATCGAGGAAGTGGCTATTCTCATCCGGGGTGAGAATAGAAAAACGATCTAGATCTACCTCTCACCCCGGGTGAGACTTGCCAGCGTAGGCTATTCTCACCCGGTGCGAAACAAGACCTGCTTTTCCTCATTTTGGAATACTGTCTATCGGTGTGGATGATCAAATTGATAAAAGCCAAGAAAAAATTACGTTATTGCTCAAAAGTAAGCTAATTTGATCGTCTTCAAAGATGCTATGGCTATTTCACTGTTCGAATCGAGCCGAACTACGCGGGTCGCCATTTTGTTTTGCCCGGAAGTTCTCGGAAGATCTACTCTTCCCCTCTCTCTCTCTCTCTCTCTCTCTCTCTCTCTGTCTCTATCTGAATACTATCGGTGTGAACGATCAAATTGACCAAAACAAAGTTAAAAAATGATGTTAAAACACAAAAGTAAATTAATATGGTTGTCTACAAAGATGTTACAGCTATTTAACTTTTCGAATCGAGCCGAACTACGCGGGTCGCCATTTTGCTTTGACCGGAAGTTCTCGCGCTACTCCTCTCTCTCTCTCTTTTTCTCTCTCTCTCTCCACTGCCCACAGACAAAATTGTACGCTTTTAGTAGGCTACTGTTGTAATGGAACGTTTGTTCACGGCACAGAATTCTACAATTTTTCTGTTATCACAGTGTAGAATTCTGTGGTTTAAGGTGAACGCAAAATTTGTTGGCCTAGATCTAGGCTATATTTATAACGATGAACGCGCAGCGGGTGAGAATAGCCAAAAGACTCGCCTGCACTATTCTCACCCCGGGTGAGAGTAGAGGTGGCCTTTTATCAACTACAAAGATGCAATGGCTATTTCACTTTTCGAATCGAGCCGCACTACGGGGGTCGCCATTTTGTTTTGCCCGGAAGTTCTCGCAAGATCTACTCCTCCCCTCTTCTCTCTCTCTATCTCTTTCTGAATACTGTCTATCGGTGTGGACGATCAAATTGACCAAAACAAAGTTAAAAAATGATGTTAAAATTTTAACACAAAAGTAAATTAATTTGGTCATCTACAAAGATGCTACGGCTATTTAACTTTTCGAATCGAGCCGAACTACGCGGGTCGCCACTTTGTTTTGCCCGGAAGTTCTCGCGCTACTCCTCTCTCTCTCTCTTTCTCTCTCTCCACTGCCCACAGACAAAATTGTACTTTTAGTAGGCTAACAGTAGTAATGGAACGTTTGTTCACGGCACAGAATTCTACAATTTTTCTGTTATCACAGTGTAGAATTTTGTATTTTAGGGTGAACGCTCAATTGGTTGGCCTAGATCTAGGCTATAACGGTGAACGCGCACCAGGTGAGAATAGCCAAAAGACTAGCCTGCGCTATTCTCACCCGGGGTGAGAATAGAGGTGGCCTTCATAATATTATTATACGCAGTGGCTATGTTCACGGCGCCCTGAATGCAGTTTGCAGGCGCTGTTGAGGCTACGACGCTACGTTCACGGCACTCAAGCTTCGTTTAGACGAAGTGTCCACTGCCAGTTTAAGGCATGATGCGGGAGAAATTTTGAAATTCGTTAAGAAGAAGAAACTTAAGCTTACAAATGTTGTAGCATCAATATAAAAAGAGCGGAGAATTAAGTCATGAAGTAAAATTTTAAAAATTCTTTTGTGTTACTATGGTAACATTGGAATGTCATATGCACACATTTCTAAAAAATCTATCATACGGTTATAAATGATTTTGAATGTTACAATTATAAGTGGTTTTGCAGCCTTCCGTGGCTGTTTTAGAGGATGGACTTGGCATTTTTGGTGTAGGAGGAAAATCTTTTCCAGAATCGAGGTCCTAAATATGGGT